GCCAAAGTGTCCAGGGAAATTTCATAATTAGCGTTGCATGGTCTTCGGCGGCCACTGTACATATGTGGCATTTGCGGCTCCAAAATGAAGTTGCGGCGGGTAGGGCATTCGATGTAGCGACTGAAATCCTGGTCCACGCACACAAAATTACCGGAAACCCTCTGCTGGACCTGCTGCTCCTCTTAGGCCTCCTGGGAGAATGCAGCCGTTCGCAAAACAGCCTGTCGGAAAGCAATAGGAATAACAATAAACTAGTGACAAGTAATTTGTTTTTTGACACATTCATAAAGATTAACTTCTGCAGTGCGTTAACGACGCCGTTGAACAACATTTGCTCCTTAGAATTGCGGCAATGCTGTTCAGTCTTCTTCTTCTTCTTTTTCTTCTTTGGTCCTACTGGATACCGTCCCACTTGGTGGTTTCCTCTTTCGAGCTCTTCGGAACAAAAGTCTGTGCCTCGAGTTGGCTTTTGAGTAACTAATTTTGTTCTTAAGGGGTACTTCGTGTGTTCTTTCCGTTTTTCTAGAGTTCGAATCGGTTAGCAAAAAATGGCCCTCGCAAAGCCCCAGAAGCGACTAGAATATCTTCGAATAGGCCAATTTTACTTGAGGCATGCAGTCAACAAGGGTTGCGACTAGAAAGCTAACGAGTAGTTCATTACGTGCGTCAGTGTCTGACCATTCTCCATCCTTTCGCGAGTCTACTTTATGTCTAAACTCTCAGAAAACTTTGCCCAGCTTCAAATCCCCATGATAAAGCTCATTTTCTCCTGACCGTTTTGTGACTGAGTTCGGGGCCCAAAGGTCACATAAACCAAACTATCCGTTTGGGTTTTATAGCAAAAGAGGTTGTTGCTTCCTCCTTGGTTCCTATTTTAAGGAATAGGTCGTTGCATGGGACTTGAATGTGACATGTCCTGTCGCCTATTAGTCGGCGGCAACATTGTTCTGTCCGGCTTTCTAGTTCAGGGTCAACTGCCTCAAGGTGTTCCACTATCTCAGTCAGCGATTTCACACGCGCTGACCTGCGGACACTTAACTAACTGACACACGTGTGTCCAGATAGTCATGGTTGCCCAAGCGCCACTTGAACATGTCTCTTTCCCCCATCCTCGGCCGACACAGCCTACGACACCCCTTGGGTAATGTCCCACGTATCAATTGGAAAACAGTTGAACCTGCTCTGAAACCCTACTAAATTAGCTGTCACCAATGTCTCATTCTCTCCCAGGCCTGGCTAGACAGAGTCAGCACTGGCCTTGGCTTCGCCAGGGGCTACTACCATTTGAGGCAGCAATTGGGAGTTCTGTACACAACAAACCCCTCACTCTGGCAACTTTTGCCTTTTATCGGCCACTTGGAATTTTGGCTTGATGATTTTAGTGCTCTACGCGCAACCACTACGTAGACCCTACCGCTTGTACTCTCAG